GTGACGCCAGTCATCAAAAGTTAACCCCCAGCTACCAACTGGTACCCATTATAAAGCAGGGTAGACTGAAACGATTGGGGCAAAGTGTCTTACTCAAGTACACAACAACTTATCGTATTTTTCTTTAATGATATGATATTGAGATTAACGAAACGATATATGTATATATATCTTTACTACTTTTCGGGAAATATGATTTTTAAAAATTAATTATAGTTGTTTTCAACTTTACCAGATGACGCTCTCGTTTACAGGAACTTTTCAAATTAATATTTTTTACGCGTTAGAAGAGTGTGTTGAACTCTGACTCTGAGGAAATGTGTTATTCGGACAGGTGATGTATTTCCAGCAAGTGAATGAGTATTCTTAAGTAAGAAGTGAAGATAATAATTTACGGTATTGCAATGAATATGAGAACTCAAAATTAATTTCTTTTTTTTCCCCAAAAATATTAACATGAGATTGAAAATTCTATTTCTAACTGGGTCGAGGTCAACAGCATTAGCCAATGCTGTACACCACCATTGTAGTACCAGTAAACTGTAATTGTAAAGTAATTCATTGTGAACAGTGATCCGCTTTTTAACTTCATTTTCATACTGGACAAAGTTTTCTACGATCTTTAGCCTATTGTTAGTAGTGGCATGTTACATCATCATTTGACATTTTTAAATAGTACGTAAGCATAGAAGAGGACCTATGTTATTAATAAGTGAGTACTATCACAAGTAACTAAGGTACATAAAATTAACAAGAATATTACATGTTGGTAGCGTAGCTAATTTTTATTTATTTAAAATTTGAAAAGGATAAAATAATTTTGAAATTGTAACCTTGTGTTTGTAATTTTGAGCAGGATGTTTAATCTGCTATTGCTATTTACTTTGCATTTTTATCAAAAGAGAGTTTAAACTTATTATTCAGTTGAGCAAAAATTACTTTTTTATTGCATATTTTTCAATATGTAACGAATATTTTAATGTTTTAAATGCATTAGTTAAGCCAAAGAACAACATTCAAGTATCGCAATGTGTATATAGTCCTTGTTTCCCTTTTTATAATTTTTTAACCTCAATCATTTTTCTGTGATTGACTTCTTACTTTAAAAAATCCAAGACAGTTAATTTAATATTTGAATACTTTGATGTACATTTGTATTTTTTTTAAGCTTTATATTAGTTAAACATTTTTGTTTTGCAGAAATCTGTAAATAATTCGTAGATTCAAATTTTTATGAAGTGAAGAAAGTCTTAGGCATGACATTAACAATCAAAAGGTCATGGAAGTTGCGTGAGTATACTTATCATGTATAGTATGATGAAACTTGTAATAAAAAGTAATATGAGGGTTTCTTTTTTTAAATACTAACTTTGAGGTAAGCAAAATAATTGTCAATAAATGATGTGAATGATAATATAGCTGACAGTGTGACTAAATTGTTACATTCATAATTACAAAATTTAGATTATTATAAGGTAATTTGCTTTTATAGTTTGATAATGACTAGAGTTAACTATAACAAAATTGAAAAGGGTTCAGAGGATAACTACTAGGGTGTTTATGGAAATGGCAGGGTTAACGTACATGGATAAGTTAAAATTTCTTAACTTGTTGCCTCTTCAGAAATAAAGGGTAAGTGGTAATCATCTGGAAGTTTACAATATTACGTAGTGGATTGATAGGATAAAGGTCTTTGATTTCTTTATGCTATATTCTGAAGGCAATAGGATAAGAAGATGCAATATTTGGAAAAGGCAGACTAAGCACTTGTCAAAACAATTTTATTTTTTAACAATGTGATTGGCTTGTTAAAAAAGTTTAACCCTGCGTTAGTCTTTCAGGGTCTTCACGGATCCCAAATATTTTGTAAACATCAGTGCCGACAGATAGAAGCACATACATGTTTGTTGTTCTCAGTAGTTTCAGTATTTGGCTAGTTTGTGTTAAATTGTTACTCGTAGTTTAGGTGGTAAAAAAAGAAACAAGTTGTAATATTCAATGTTAATTTATTGATTAATAAAGGAAAATATTTTGAGTGTTAATGTTTTTTGTTTCCAAAGTAATAGTTTATTATTATTTAACTATTTTTAAATTAAATTTTTATGATGGGGTCTGCTTGGACCCCAGAAAAGTGACATATCAACTAAAATACACATTAAGATACCAAAAAAACTTCTTATATAAATAAAGTAATTTTTTTTACACCTTACATTTAGTTACTGTTTTTAAAATACTAAAATATTTAAACATCAAGATTTAAAAATGAATTAGATTATTCTTACTAACATTACACAGAAAATAAGATATAATCTTTACTGGTTTTAAATTTGAAAATATGCATTCATGCTTTGCTGTGTTTTTAATTCCTCTAAGATAACTGTTTGTATGTATATTAACATACAGGTTTTTTTAGACCTTAATTAATAAGATGTTGGGAAAGTACGTACAAATTTACTTTGTACATCACATAACATGCAAATAATAAAATGGAAGAATTTTCCATATATTTCAATATTCAGACATAGCTAAAAACATCAGTTTTATACATATCAGCATGTTTTTACTGAAACTGTTATGATGGTATCACAGGCTACATTTTTAAATTTGATGATAGGAAATAAATATTTTAAAATTACACTGATTTATATAGGTAACCTCTACAAATATACAACCATAATGATGGAATTTCTTGCTTTTAATTCTCTAGAAGTTTCTATGGTTGCTGTCCAATAATTAGTTTGTTGGATTGTAGTTTCCAGTAGATTAGTTTCTTTGGGTTACATAACTAATGTGACAATACTTAGAAAGCTTTACTGTAATGTACATATTTTTATGTCCCAGACGCATACAGAGGTGTAGGAAGAAAATTAAAAGTGTGGGGAAGGGGGCAACGTTTATTTGACCAAGTAAAACAAGAGAATGTGAACCACAGTGCACCTATTATGGCATGGGTAAGCCCTGGAAGCTCTTGGGTTCTGTATTCAATCTTATGCATTTTCCTGAGAGTAATTTTCCTAATTTTGATGCATTTCACTGGGATATATTGAAAAGTTGTGGGCACAGCCTCCAAAGCTTTCTACACCACAGACATAGCAAAATAGTTAGTTTTTTCAATATCTTAACAGAAACAGCCACCCATAATCTTATTACTGTTCATCTGTTAATGTTCCGCTTTCACTGCAAGCAGAAGTACTCACTAAATGTTATTGAAATTCTGACCTTTATGAGCTATATTTGTCAACCATTGTTTCCTGGAGAGTTGTAATAATTTTTTGATAGCAGTGTTGTGTGTAAATAAACATTTAGCTTATATTTAAATAGCTTGTGGTTATTTGATTATGCTTATCTTTGTGAGTTTCAACTGTACAAACTTTTAATTTTGATTGGGCCATGGTAAGTTTCCAGATTTAAAATGCTGAAATCCAGAGTTTGATTTCCCATAGTAGATAGAATGAAGTTAGCCCATTGTGTAGCTGTGTACTAAAACAAAACAATAACTACCCTAATTTTAATAGACTTTTAGATTAATTCAGCAAATAATTGAATTTTTATTTTTATTACCTCAAAATTTAAAGTTAAAACAAGGAACAGTATGAAAGTATTAAGCTTGTGTGTGGACAACATGTAGCGTTTTGGAATCGGTACTTGTATATTATGTTGGTTCAAAGGTATTTTGTAGATAACTCTTATTGTTATTTCATCACCACCGAGACTGCTCGGTAGATGGCGATAATTATGCTAAACCTCTGTTCTAATTCTAATGATAATTCCTTTTTTTTATTTTACTAATATTAAACCTAAGAAATAATATTTTTTTAGTTTTTGTATTTTAGTTTAATACAGCAATTGCAATTTAGAACATACAGTAAACCTAATACTCTGTTTAATTACTCGTTCTCAAATGAAACTAATATAAAAGTAGAATTACGAGAAAAAAAAAGGTACTTTTTGTGATTTTAAGCAGTTTTTATAGGTTAATTAAACAGCAGTTTATTCATTCGAATTGAATTTTGACTATAAATAAGAAAACTTATTGAAATATAATAACATAAATGAAATAAAACCAGGATCAGAGTAAATACAAAAAATCTAGACTTGTAGTTAAAAAAACATCCTTTGCTCCAATGAATTTGGGCTGGAGTTGGGAAACCATTGTCTTTACGTTTCCGGAAAGGAAAGTCTCTTTCCTGAAAGTGTTTAAACTGAAAAAAGAAAGTGAACAAAATAGAAAAGTTTATAATATGTCAACCACACCATATCTGCTATATCCAGTGTCGGCGAGATCTTTTCTTAATACCAGGGCTCTTCAGACCGTTTGGGATACGACAGATATGCGTAGTTGCTATTTATATTATCAAATTGTTTGAATAACAACTGTTTCTTTGTGAACTGGATTAAGTTGAAGTGTATTATTCGTTAGTTTTATCGATGCTAGTTATGATAAAAATTAACCATGCTGATCACGGAAACTTTCGGCTGGAGAACTTTTATTCAGGTTTAAATTTGGATATGACGTACGGTACAATGTGTGTGTGATTTTCGACACGTTTCACCAGAATACGTACTGTTTCGTAAACATCGTTAGAAATGATTCATAATTCGCCAGCAACAGCTTGGTTTACACACTTCATTTGAACATGTTATAGGAATATTTACTGATTGTTTCAAAGTTTTTGAACAACTTTTACAGCAATGTTTTTTTACCTTTTTTTGGATTTTTTTTTTAATATTTTAAGAACTGATATGAGATACTTCCGTTTTAGATTCACCATTGCTTGAGTTTCGAGCATTTCATTTTAATTTTCTAATTATTGAGGCTTCGTCACTAGATTTTGTTAGTGATGTGGTTATCCTTGTCAATTCAGGCTTAAGGTGATTTTGTGGTCATCGTAAGTCTAACTGATAGTAAGTTTTTTGTAAGAGTGGATACTAGTTAGGAACTCGTGAATTCTTTAAGTTTTCAAATCTACAGTTATGTGAAACAGCATCATCATCTATGTATCTTAGTGAGATTTCAGGCTTCAAGCTGGTTTTGTAAGTCAATGATTCAAAGTGTCCTGTAGACTCAAAAATTTTTCTAACAAAAAAAAAGACTGCAAAGATAACTACTACTGTCTGTGTTGACTTTAAAGATTTTTTCTTTGGAAACACAATTATTCGTACTTAAATGTTAATGTTAGCAAAGTTTTTTTATTGTTTGTATTTAACCCAAAAGTATTAAATTGACTTTCACGAACTGAGATAAAATCAGAAACTATTGATAATTTATTCTATTAGAATTGGTTATAATGCCACGATATCTACGAGGAAGAAAAATAAATCAGATCCATAATACCATATTTCGTCTTTCTAACCTGGACAGAAGGTCAGTGCCGACTCCAGGATTCTAAAAGTGGGGAGGTGAAGGGGTGGCAGACAGAAGGGTGAAGACTTTTTGTTTTTAAAGTTGAGTGGATAGCAACCTGTGGAAGATAACATTCTGGGAGATGTAGCTTTTAATCAACTTCTTAGTGTAAATTTTAAGGGAGGCAGAGAAATTTCAGGGGTGACGCTTGCCACCACTCGACTCCCCTTGCAGAATGTTTCAGTGTTGTTCAAATGTGCTTTCCAAGTTACCACAGGGGTTTCAGTTACTTTAATATATGTTGTGATAACCGAGTAAGATCCCAATTATTTTATTTGATCTTTTGTGTTTCGTAGCATAGGGTTGTTATGTAGTGGGTCTAACCTGTGTAGGTGTAGTTGGTAAGGTTATATCATTTTGCTGTAGCCATGACGGCAAATCCTTTGCCCTTATTTGATGAATAAACGCTAAGGGGTTTGCAATTTTTTCCGATTTTTCAGCGCTATTAGTTCATTTGGAGTAAGATTGTTTTATTTTTTATGTTAAGATTTAAAATGTAACTCGTCTACTTGTAAAATTAAAAAGAGGACAAGGGTTTATAAGATGGGAGTTTTGCCCACTCATCGAATTTCGTTATCGAGCTATGCCTCGCTTCGTTTAGCAGAGTTGAGTATAAAAATCATGGTGCGGGCGTTCTTCACACATGCGCTATACATATTGAGCCATATCAGTGCGGTAAGTATCCAATTTCAAGGAAAACTTTGTCTGTCTGTGGACGCATCTCCTCCTAAATGAATTGACCGATTCAGACCAAACTTGGCATGCTAACTTAGTAACCCAAAAGCAAACTAACTTCATATTAGACTTTCCCATATATTGAAAAATACAAATATTTTACAGAATAACCCGCGTATCGTTACTGCAGTAGCTGTTGTAAATAGTTGAG